TAACTAAGGCTTTTAAAGGAGTTTTACTGGCAGGAAAACCTCTGGCCTGGTGCAAGGTGATTTGGGCCTGTGCTCCTACTCATAGGGCTGCTAAGTGATCAGAGCTTCCAGCAGGGGGATTCTCTCCAAAAATTCTTAGAGGTGGCCCAGGAAAACATGGACAAAGCAAATGTCAACAGGTTGAACCTGGGGATGCTCTGGAATAAGTTACCCAGGGAAGTGACTCAGTGAAAAGACGGTCAAGTACATTAGCTTGGTCAGCCCATCCTGCTTGATGTAGCAACAGACATTGAATCAGTGACAGCTGTTCTGCTGCTTCTTTTGCCTTTTCTAGAACTGGCATTTTAAACTGCAGTTATTCTGTTTTTTGCCTCTAGTACTTTATATGAAGTATGTCAGATATTCTGTGTTTTTCAGTTAGCCTATAGAGTTAAGTTACATCCCTACCTGAAGAGAATGGACACCAACCAGCCTTGGAGACAGGAGCCACAGCTAGACACACGGGACAGAGGTGAGGAGATCTGTGGTTAGAGATGGGAAACTGTGCCATGTTGGGCAAAAGCACTGTTTGAACTCAATGTATGGAGAAAGGGTGTGTGTGTGTGTGCTGGGGACAAAGAGATGAACGTCGCTGGCTTTGTCTACCAAGAAGATCACCCTTTCTCCGAGAACTGTATCTCACCCCTGCTGGAGGGAACTCTCCTCTCGCCAGAGCAACCACACGGGTGTCAGTCACACAGGTCACAGTCGTGTCACAGAATACACTATAGTGGAGGTCAGGAGACAGAACTGAACACATGCGCTGCTGTGCCGCTAGTAATCACGCATCCAGCCATGTGAAAGCCTCCCCTTCCAAAGAATAAAGCTGGGCGGGGTTCCCACAAGCACAAAGCAGGAAGCCCCACAGACACACAAAATTACAACCACTTACGAAAAAGACCAGAACCTATCAAAAGAGATCTTCTACAACTAAAGACATAATGAACGGACCACAGTGAGATGGGTTTGAGGGCGGAGTCGTGGTATAGCCAAGACCACACCCTGCAGTGGGCAACCCACAAACAGGAGAATAGTTACAACTGCAGAGGTTCTCCCCATGGAGTGTGGGGTCCGTGCCTCACATCTGGCTCCCAAGCTCAGGGGTCCTGTGTTGGGAAGATGAGCCCCCAGAATATTTAGCTTTGGAGACCAGTGGGGCTGACTTTCAGGAGATTGCCCAGAGGGCTGTGGGAAAGAGACCTCACTCTTAAAGGGCACACACAGAATCTCACACGCTCTGGGACCCAAGACAGAAACAGTAATTTGAAAGGGGCCAGGGTTAGACCCACCGGCTGATCTTAGAGAGGCCCTCAGAGAGGCAGGAGGCAACTGCAGCTCACCTTGGGGACACAGACACTGGCAGCAGCTATTTGGGGAGCTCGTTCTACCATGTGGATGCTGGTCTAGCGAGCATCTCTTGGAATCCTCCCTCTAACTTACTAGCCTCAGGACCCAGCCCCACCTCTACCTACCAACCTGAAGGAGCCAGTACGGGGACACCTCAGGCCAAGCAACTAACTAGGTGGGGACACAGTCCCACCCACCAGCAGACAGGCTGCCTTAAGACCCTCAATCCCACAGCTGCCCCTGGACATGGCCTTGTCCACCAGAGGGTCCAGGACCTGGCCACACACATCAGTACATGGGCACTAGACCCAGGAACCCCAGGGCCCTGCAGCCAAAGACCCCATGACCCAGCTCCACACACCAGTGAACAGGCACCAGCCCCAGAATCTCCTGGAGCTTGACCCCACCCACCAGTGAGCCTGCTCTAGCCTTGGGACCAGCATCACCCACCAGCAGGCAGAGACATGCCCAAGGAAAACCTCAGCCCTGGAGCCTACAGACCCAGCCCACACACCAGCTGGGCCATGGCCCTACCTACTTTCAGGCCAACACCAGCTCTGAGACACACTGGGCCCCTCAGCCAGCTGCCCCAGGGTCCAGCCCCACTCACCAGCAGTCCAATACCAGCTCTGGCACCACTGGGTCCTGCAGCTAGACCCCAGGACCTGGCTCCGACCACCAGTGGGCCAGCACAAGCTCTGGGGCTCACCAGGAGTGAGCCTGCCAGCTACCTTGTGACTCAGGCCTACCAACCAATGACCAGCAACCTCTACACAAGGAAGACCTGGCCAGCAACCAGACCAGGGGCCAGCCATGCCTATGAGACTGCCCACACCAGTCAGCCCACCACAACAGGGGGACCCACAGTCCACAGAGGGGGCACCTCTAGAGCATCCAGCCCTGGTGACCAGAGGGGAGTATGCTGCCAGGGCACACAGGATGTCTCCTACAGAAGGCCACTTCTCCAAGGTCAGGAAATGTAACCAACTTAGATACACAGAAATGAAACCAGCAAATAAGGCAAAATGAGGTGACAGAGGAACATGTTCCAAAGAAAGGAACAAGATAAAACCCCAGAAGGAGGGCTTCCCTGGTGGCGCAGTGGTTGAGAGTCCACCTGCCGATGCAGGGGACACGGGTTCGTGCCCCGGTCCGGGAAGATCCCACGTGCCGCGGAGCAGCTGGGCCCGTGAGCCATGGCTGCTGAGCCTGCGCGTCCGGAGCCTGTGCTCCACAATGGGAGAGGCCACAACAGTGAGAGGCCCACATACCACAAAAAAAAAAAAAAAAAAACCCAGAAGGAGAACTAAGTAAAGTGGACACAGGCAACCTATCTGAGAAAGAGTTCAGGGTAATGATTGTAAAGATGATCAAAGAACTTGGGAGAAGAATGGATGAACAGAGTGAGAAATCAGAAGTTTTTAATAAAGAGTTAGAAACCATAAAGAACAACCAAACAGAGATAAAGAATACACTAACTGAAATGAAAAAATACACTAGAAGGAATCAACAGTAGATTAAATGATATGGAGGAACAGATGAGCGAGCTGGAAGACAGAGCAGTGGGAATCGCTGCTGCTGAGCAAAACAAGAAAAAAGAATAAAAAGAAATGAGGACAGTTCAAGAGACCTCTGGGACAACATCAAATGTACTAACATTCACCTTATAGGAGTACCAGGAGAAGAGAGAAAGTGGAAGACAACATATTTGAATATATAATAGCTGAAAACTTCCCTAACCTGGGAAAGGAAATTGACTTCTTGGTTGAAAATCCACAGAGAGTCTGAAACCCAAAAAGGACCACACCAACACACTGTAATTAAAATGGCAAAACTTAAAAATAAAGACAGAATATTAAAAGCAACAAGGGAAAAGCAACAAGTTACTTACAAAGGAGCTCCCATAAGGCTATCAGCTAACTTTTCAGCCAAGATGTGGAAGCAACCTAGGTGTCCATCAACAGATAAATGGATAAAGAAGATGTGATATATATGAATGTAAACACACACAATGGAATATTACTCAGCTATGAAAAAGAATGAAATTATGCCATTTGCAGCAACATGAATGGACCTGGAGGGTATTATGCTTAGTGAAATAAGTCAAGACAGAGAAAGACAAATACTGTGTTTCATCACTTATACATGGACTCTAAAAAATAAAACAAATGAATGAATATTACAAAAAAGAAACAGACTCACAGATATAGAGAACAAACTAGTGTTTACTGTGGGGAGAGGGAAAGGGGGAGAGGCAAAATAGGGGTGGGGAATTAAGGGATCCAAACTACTATGTATAAAATAAACAAGCTACAAGGATATACTGTACAGCACAGGGAATTACAGCCAATATTTCATAATAACTATTGATATACATGGAGTGTAACCTATAAAATCTTTGAATCATTATGTTGTACACCTGAGACTAATAAAATATTGTAAATCAATTATACCTCAATAAAAAAAGAATAAATATGATATGCAAAAACAATAAAGAGAAAGAAATGCAGAAAATGTCCTGGAGACAATTCTTCATCTTGAGGCGTCTCCTTGCCCTTTTCTCCTAAGCTGTTAGACTCACTGTCCCTTGCAGCCACTGGAGTGCTGACAGAGAAAATGACATAGCCTAGCGGGCTAGTGTACAGACTGCCCAGAAACACGGTGGGGCGCTCCTACAGAACTGGGGACAGCAAGGCTTGCTCAGCATTGTAAGTCAGTGTAAAGCTACACTGTTACAACGTTTCTCTTGATTGTACCCTAATAGAATTCGCTAATACATTAAGAAAAAAGGGCCCAGCACAGGAGGAAACAGCAGGACTGTCCATCCCAGCACTGCATGTCTGTGTCTGGAGGTGGATAGAAATAATCTAGAGCTATAGCCTAATTCTGCATTAAAGCTGTTAATTCATGCATTAACAGCTATCTTAGTCTATCCAACTGTATACAATTGCTATTTCATACTCTGCAAGGGCTATTCTAAACATAGAAACAGACTCCATTCCACTCAAACTTCCAACATCATGTGTCAGTAGATAATCCTGTCACATGGGCCTCTTTCCATTTCCTAGGACTAAGCACTCCACACTCACCTACACTGCACCCGTCCATCTTCCACAGAGGTCAGCATTCCACGTGTGCTTTGATCTCAATTCTAACCCTCCCTGCTTTGTCTCAAGGACCTCACACTATTTATCATTCTATGTATTATAAAGCCAACCTTTCCTTCAACCACCAGAAAATGTAAACTCCATGAAGACAGGGCCCTTGTCCATTCTATATACTACTGTATTTTTGATGCCTAGCACATAGCAGGTACTAAAAACTATTTGTTGAAGGCAAGAATAAATAAATGAATAAGAGGTTAGAAACAAATAGTCTGTAAGAAATCTTCCAGCTCTGAAGTTCTATAATTCTACTTGCAGAAGATAAGGTGCATAATGGATTTCAGATTTAGGGTTAGAGGCTTTACCAAATTTCAATAATACTTTTCTAAATAAACATAATACAATTTTTCTTTATCCCTTCACTTTACTTCAGATAAATTCACTTTAAATTTTGAGCCTATCTTAAAGACGAAATAAATGAAATAGAAAATGTCAACAAATGATGCTTACTCTTCTTTCCATCCATATCTGCATGGATTTTCCGAGCCAAGAAACCACTTTTGTACACAGCAGCATTTGGGTCGTGAGGAATGTCCAAGAATGGGTTGGTAGTACTCCCAATACGGCTGATGGTCTTTGGATGTGTTCCATTAGCCTTCTCATCAGTACCTTCTGACGGAGACTTTTTTTTCTCTTCATCATCTCTAAAAGGATAAAACAAAGATTGAACACACAGGTTGAGTAACACAACATTCAATGTGAACATTGTGAGTAACACAATATTCAATGAACAGAGTTATTTGGTGTAATAAACTATCATATTTTCTAATGGTCTATCAGTCTTAATAACAACGACCATGATAAGAATAACTGCGGTTCACTAAACATCTCCTGTGTGCCAGGTATTTATGACCATGACAGTCTTGTAAGACTGGTATTAGTATCCTATACCACAGGTAAGGAAAGAAACTCAAAGTTTAAATAAATATGCCAAAGCACATACCTAGGAATTAAAGGAAGAAGCAGTGAGGATATGACTGTAAAACTCTAAAGCCTCTGGTCTTTACACCTACTACAGAGCCTTCATGTTTGTCTTCTTTCAAACAAGCACAAGTTCTTTGGCAGAGATCATGATTTTGATTTTGATCTCTGCATGGCCTAGAATAGTACCAAGCATACAGAATACGACAAGTACAGATTAAGTCCAGTAAACAATATTGGACTATATCTGCCAAATAACCAGGTAATCTCTAATATCAAAACCTCAGGTAAAGCTACCAATGGGTTAGGATGGGGGTGCCATGCACAGTGCTTTGGCATCTTACAGCTTTCCAATCGCCATTAAAGTTTGGAGCACCCTATCAGTGACAGAGAAAACCCCTAATTGCCCAGTCCCCCTTTTGAATCCCCGTTCCTTCAAGCAGGGAAAGTTGAACGCTGAGGTTATAATGTACATTAAGTATGAAGGAGGTGGTCACATTCAGCTAATAAAGAGATGGGAAGATTAGAAGAAAGCTAATAAGCTCTGATATACTGCTGGAAAACACATAACCAGAATAAGAGCATTTGTCTTAGTTCTCCGGTTTTAATGTCCTGAATCATCTCTGGTTTCACTGTTTATTAAGCTTTGAATATTGAATCTTTTTATAAAACTTCAACCAAAATAACCACCACCAAAATATATTTAAAATAAACCACAAGCTTAACAATCATCAAAAGTGTTTATTTGGGGGCTTCCCTGGTGGTGCAGTGGTTGAGAGTCTGTCTGCTGATGCAGGGGACGTGGGTTCGTGCCCCGGTCTGTGCTCCGCAACGGGAGAGGCCACAACAGTGAGAGGCCCGTGTACCACAAAACAAACAAACAAGCAAACAAAAAGTGTTTATTTGGTTATCAGAGTAAAACAGACATTTTTCCCCATTGGTATTTTATAAATAATTGTGAGATATATGAAAATAACACTGAACTCAGGCCAACTATACCTTACTTTTAATTTTATTTTTAGATAATTTTGGATTTGCAAAGATAGTACAGAGTCCCTTTATGCTCACCATCCAGTTTCCCCAATGTAAACAACTTTTATTTTCTTTTGGCCACGTCACGTGGCATGTGGGATCTTAGTTCCGATCAAACCTGGGCCCCCTGCAGTGGAAGTGCAGAGTACTAACCACTGGACCGCCAGGAAATTACCCCAATGTTAACATCTTATAGAACCATAATAAAAGTGTCAAAATTAAGAAATTAACAATACAATACTAAGAAGTAAACTTCAGACTTTATTCAGATTTCACCCATTTTTTTTCACTAATGTTTTTTTCTTTTCCAGAATCCTATCCATGACCCCACAGTGCACTTGGCTGTCATGGCTCTTTAGTCGCCTCCAGACAGTGACAACTTTTAAGCCTTTATTTGTCCTTCATGAGCTAGAAAGTACTAGCCAGTGATTCTGTAGGTTTGTTTGATGTCTTCTCATCATTAGATTGAGGTTATACATTCTTGGGACGGATACCATGGGTGATACACCCTCTCAGTACACCAGATCAAGAGGTACGTGTTTTATTATTAGTGAGATGCACCTGGATCACTTGGTTAAGGTGGTTTCTGGCAAGTTTCTATACTGTAAAGTTACTATTTTCCTTTGCAAATGATTTGGGGGAGATATTTTCTGACTATGAAAATATCCTGTTTCTCTTTGAACTTCTGACCACTAATTTTAGCATTCATCTGTGTATTCTAAGACAATTATACTGTAGTGATCTAATGGTGATTTTTAAAAATTTCCCTAATTTCTTCTACATTATTCATTGGAATTCTTCTGTAAGTATGGACACATGGATATTTATTTTATTATTTGGATTGTAATCAAACACTACCATTATTTAATTTGTTGTTCAAATTTTTCCAGCTTTGGTCATTGGGAGTCCTATCAAGTAGGCTTCTGTGTCCTTTCACCATGCCTCATTCTTTTTCCTTTTTGTTTTGTAAGTATTTCCTTTCTTTCAGGTACCACAAGATGCTACCTCCAAGCACATCTTGTATTTTCCTTGTCTCAGCCCTGGAAGCAACTACTCTACAAGGAGTCCCAGTTCTATTTATTGGAGAATGGTATTTAGAAACCAAATCCAGGTGCTAGGTGTGCTCACTGCCTCTAGGCCCTCTCAACAGACACACCTAGGGAAATACATAGATATTGCATATATATATATATATATATATATGATCCAGCTATCCTCCCTCCCTTCCCATGAGCTCATACTGTTATCTCCAACCCAAGCCAGCGAGATAAAATTCACTCCAGCCTTTCCCTTTTGCTTATTTGTACTTCTTCAACAGTGAGAAACCTGGCTTTCTTACCTACAACATATTTATTTATTTATATGTTCAACCCGAGTAAACAATGGGTTGTTTGTTATATATAACAACAGTTATGCAATTCATTTGGAAAACAAATTAATTTCGTATAGTCTGAAATATATCTTGCATTCCCCATACTGTGGCTGATATTTAAGAAATGTACATACACAAAATGCACTCCTCGAGATGTACAATTCTATGGGAATACATAATGCATCATGTATCTACCACCACAATATCAAACAGAACAGTTCTGTCACCCCCAAATTCCTTCTGCTGCCTTCTTTTAGTCAATTCCTCTCCCTGACCAATTCCTGGAAACTACTTATCTCCCTTCCATCCCAATAGTTTTGTCATTCTCAAAATGTCACATAAATGGTTTATTTTACTTGGCAAAACATATTTAAGATTCATCCATATTGTTGTGAGAATCAATAGTTTGCTCACTTTCATTGCTGAGTACTATTTTATTTTATGGACATACTAGTTTATTTATGCATTTACTTTCCCCTACCCCACACCTCCAGCTTTATTGAGGTAAAATTGATTTATTTATTGTAAGGTATTTTAAGTGTACAACCTGATGATTTGATATACACATACATCATGAAAGGTTCCCCAACATCGAGTTAGCAAATCCAACACCTCACATATTTATTTATATATTTATTTTTGGTAAGAAATTTAAGTTTTTCTCCTTAGTAAATTTCAATTATACAATGCACTGCTATCAACTGTAGTCACCATGTTTTACATTATTTCTTCAGACCTTATTAGTCTTGCAGCTGCAAGTTTGTACCCTCTGAACAAACTCTCCCTATTTCCCCCACATCATATGCCCTGGCAACCACTTTTGTACTCTGTTTCAGTAAGTTAGACTTTTAAAAAAAAATCCACATATAAGTGATTCTATATGGTATTTATCTTTATCTGATTTATTTCACTTAGCATAATGCCCTCCAGGTTCATCCATATTATCAAAAATGACAGGATTTCTTTCTTATTTTAGGGCTGCATAGTATACCAGTGTGTGTGTGTGTGTGTGTGTGTGTGTGTGTGTGTGTGTATCATATCTTCTTTATCCATTCATCCACAGATGGACTTTAGGCTGTTTCCGTATTTGGCTACTGTAAATGATGCTGCTCTGAACATAGGAGTACAGATATCTCTGAAATAATTATTTCTTTTCTTTGGCTATATATTCAAAAGTAGGATTGTTGGAACATAAGGTAGCTCTATTTTTAAGTTTTTGAGGAACATCCATAATGTTTTGCATAGCGGCTGTACCACTCTACATTTCCACCAACAGTGCACCAGGGTTCCCTTTTCTTCACATCCTTGCCAGCATTTGTAACCTCTTGTCTCTTTGATAATAGACATCCTAACAGGTATGAGGTGATATCTCAGGTGGTTTTGATTTGCATTTCCATGATCTGTGATGTTGACCACCTTTTCATATACCTGTTGACCTCTTTTATGTCTCTTTAGAAAAACATGTCTACTTAGGTCCTTTCCAAATTTTTAAACTGAGTTATTTGATTTTATGCTAATGAACTGTGGGAATTCACTGTATATTTTGGATATCAACCCCTTGTCAGATATAGGATTTGCAAAAATTTTCTCTTACTCCATAGTTGCCTTTTCATTTTGTTGACGGTTTCCTTTGCTGTGCAGAGCTTTTTAGTTTAACTTAGACCCACTTGTTTACTTTTGCTTTTGTTGCCGAATCAAAAAAATCACTGTCAAGACCAATGTCAAGAAGTTTCCTCCCTATGTTCTCTTCTATTTTTATGGTTTCAGGTCTTATGTTCAAGGCTTTAATACATTTTGAGTTGATTTTTGTGTTTGGTGTAAGATGAGGTCCACTTTTGTTCTTTCGCATGTAGATTATCAATTTTCCTAACACCATTTATTGAAGGGACAATTCTTTCTCATTCTTAGCTGCCTTGTGTGAGTTAATTTCTGGGCTATTGGGTTCCACTGACTTACGTGTCTGTTTTTATGTCAATATCATACCGTTTTGTTTATTTCATAGTTTGAAAGGAATTGTGATGCATCCAGCTTTGTTCTTCTTTCTCAAGACTGCTTTGGCTATTTGGGGTCTTTTGTGGTTCCATGCAAATTTTAGCATTGTTCTATTCCTATGAAAAATGCCATTGGAATTTTGATAAGGATTGCACTGAATCTTCAGATTGCTTTGAGTATTATGAACATTTAACAATACTAATTATTCAAATCCATTAGCACAGAATGTTTTTCATTTGTGTCCTCTTCAATTTCTTAATCAATGTTTATAGATTTCAGTGTATAGACCTTTAAAGTGTTTTATAGATTTCAGTGTATAGACCTTTGACCTCCTTGGTCAAATTTATTCCTAAGTATTTTGTTGTTTTTGATGTTATTGTAAAAATGATTGTTTTCTTAATTTCTATTTCTGATAGTTCATTGTTGGTATACAGAAATGTAACTGATTTTTGTATATTGATTTTATATTGTGCACTTCATTTATTAATAGTTTTTTGGTGGACTATTTAGGGTTTTCTATATATAGTATCATTTCACCTGCAAATAAAGACAATTTTACTTCTTCCTTTTCAATTTAGATGCCTTTTATTCTTCTTGCCTAATTGCCACATCATCCTTATACTGTTCTTGATTTTAGAGGAAATGCTTTTCAAGGTTGAGTATATGATGTTTGCTGTGGGCTTGTCACATATGGCCTTTATTAATGTTAAGGTACATTTCCTCTATACTCAATTTTTTGAGAGTCTTTATTACAAATGGATGTTGAATTTTGTCAAATGCTTTCTCTGCATCTGTTGTGATTATATTTTTAGCCTTCATTTTCTTAATGTGGTGTACCACATTTATAGATTTACAGATGTTGAACCACCCCTGCATCCCTTGATCTTGATGTATGATGTATGATGCTTTTAATGTGCTGTTGGACTCTGTTTGCTAGTATGTTGTTGAGGACTGTTTGCATCTATGTTCATCAGTGTTACTGGCCTGTGACGTTCCTTCCTTGAAGCATCCTTGTCTAGCGTTGGCATCGGGGTGATGGTGGCCTCGTAGAATGAGTTTGACAGAATCACTCCTTTTCATTGTATGGATAGTTTAAGGATTGGCATTCATTCTGCTTTGAATGTTTGCTAGAATTCACCAATGAAGCCATCTGGTCTTGGACTTTTATTTTTTGTTTTATTTGTTTATTTAATCAGTAATCAAATACCTGTCCAAGTAGTTAGTAAATGGTCTCATCAGTTTTCCTGTTTTTTTTTTTCATGATTAACTCCTGGTAGGTTGTATGTTTCTAGGAATTTATCCTTTTCTTCTACTTTGTCCAATTTGTTGTCATATAACAGTCTCTTATGATCCTTTGTATTTCTGTGGAATAAGTTAAATGTCTCCCATTTCATTTCTAATTTATCTGAGTCCTCTTTATTTGAGTCTCTATACTGGTTTGTTTAAAACATTCTGCTGAGTTTTGGGGATGAAATTATGATTTTTCTCTATATAAACATCAGGCAAAAGAAGTACAGTTACAGTGTCTAATATGGTAGCCACTGGCTACATATGTCTACTGAGAACTTAAAATGTGGGTAGTCCAAATTGAGATGTACAGTAAATAAAAAAAATACACACCATATTTCAAAAGACAGTACAAAAAAGGAATATATTCCAATAATTTTCTACCAAATACATATTGAAATGATAATATTCTGGATACACTGGGATAAGTTAAAAATACTTTATAAAATTAATTTTTACCATTTTTCAACTTTGATGATGTAGCTACTAAAAATTTTTAAACTACATATGTGGCATGCATCACATTTCTTTTGGAAAGGCTGTTGTTAGAGAGGTTTGTATATTCTAAGACATATTAAAATCGAAGACAAAAATAGAAGAAGAATAAGCAGAGAAATGTTCAACAAAGTACAGCTCACTAAAACCCTGACAATAAGTGAGGACTGAAAATATTCAATCCTGCGAAACAAGTATTCTTCAAATTACAAAGGTTAATGAAATGACCATGTCACCTTACACTTAAATTCACTTTATTTTTTATTGTGTCATTAAATAGAATAGTGTAGGGCTTCCCTGGTGGCACAGTGGTTGGGAGTCCGCCTGCTGATGCAGGGGACACAGGTTCGTGCCCTGGTCAGGGAGGATCCCACATGCCACAGAGCGGCTGGGCCCATGAGCCATGGCTGCTGGGCCTGTGTGTCCAGAGCCTGTGCTCCGCAGTGGGAGAGGCCACAGCAGTGAGAGGCCCGCATACTGCAAAAAGAATATATATATATAGAATAATATATTCTACTGAGATTCCAGACATCTTAACATCTTACAACCTACAAAATTCCCCAAAACATTCTTTAATCTGTCCACTGTGTAATCATGTATGAGTCACTGGGTGGTCAAAGTCCACAGCTTAAGATGCAGTCTATTTGGAGAACAACAAAAGCTCTGGTGCTATCAGAAGATAATCTTTCTATTTCTCTGTTCTTTCTAAAGATCAACTGTAAATCACGAAAATCCTATATCCTATGTTACTTATAACAGGTGTGCTTTTATTTCTAAACAAAAAAGATAGATAAGGAACCATGCAAGTCCACTGGAGTCTTATATTTCACTGGAATTCCACAAAGAACAGAAAAAAACGGCTTTTTTTAAAAATTTTATTTTATTTTATACAGCAGGTTCTTATTACTTATCTATTTTATACATATTAGTGTATATATGTCAACCCCTATCTCCCAATTCATCCCCCCACCCAGTTTCCCCCCTTGGTATCCATACATTTGTTCTCTACATCTGTATCTCTATTTCCACATTGCAAACCAGTTTGTACCATTTTTTCAGATTCCATGTATATATGTTAATATATTTGTTTGTCACTTTCTGACTTACTTCACCCTGTATGACAGGCTCTAGGTCCATCCACGTCTCTACAAATGACCCAATTTCGTTCTTTCTTATGGCTGAGTAATATTCCATTGTATATATGTACCATGTCTTCTTTATCCATTCATCCCATGATGGACACTTAGGTTGTTTCCATCTCCGGGCTATTGTAAATAGTGCTTCAGTGAACACTGTGGTACATGTCTCCTTTTGAATTATGGTTTTCTCAGGGTATATGCCTAGTAGTGGGATTGTTGGGTCATATGGTAGTACTATTTTTAGTTTTTTAAGGAATCTCCATACTGTTTTCCATAGTGGTTGTATCAATTTACATTCCCACCAACAGTGCAACAGGGTTCTCTTTTCTCCACACCCTCTCCAGCATTTGTTGTTTGTAGATTTTCTGATGATGCCCATTCTAAAAGGTGTGAGGTGATAATTCATTGTAGTTTTGAATTGCATTTCTTTAATAATTAGTGATGTTGAGCAGCTTTTCATGTGCCTCTTGGCCATCTGTATGTCTTCTTTAGAGAAATGTCTATTTAGGTCTTCTGTCTATCTTCTAATTGGGTTGTTTGTTTTTTTAATGTTGAGCTGCATAAGCTGTTTACATATTTTGGAGATTATCCGTTGTCCATTGATTTGTTTGCAAATATTTTCTGAGCATTGTATTTTCATCTTGTTTATAGTTTCCTTTGCTGTGCAAAAGCTTTGAGTTTCATTAGGTCCCATTTATTTTTGTTTTTATTTCCACTACTCTAGGAGGTGAGTCAAAAAAGGTCTTGCTGTGATATATGTCAAAGAGTGTTCTTCCTATGTTTTCCTCTAAGAGTTTTATAGTGCATGGCTTTACATTTCGGTCTTTAATCCATTTGGAGAATATTTTTGTGTATGGTGTTAGGGAGCGTTCTAATTTCATTCTTTTACATGTAGCTGTCCAGTTTTCCCAGCACCAGTTATTGAAGATGCTGTCTTTTCTTGACTATATATCCTTCCCTCCTTTGTCATAGATCAGTTGACCATAGGTGTGTGGCTTTATCTCTGGGCCTTCTATCCTGTTCCATTGATCTATATTTCTGTTTTTGTGCCAGTACCATATTGTCTTGATTACTATAGCTTGGTAGTATAGTATGAAATCAGGTAGTCTGCTTCCGCCACATCTGTGTTTTCCCTCAAGATTGCTTTCACTATTTGGGGTCTTTTGTGTCTCCATTCAAATTTTAAGATTTCTTGTGCTAGTTCTGTACAAAATGCAATAGGTAATTTGACAGGGATTGCACTGAATCTGTAGACTGCTTTGGATAGTATAGTCATTTTCACAATATTGATTCTTCCATTCCAAGAACAGGGTATATATATCTCCATCCGTTCGTGTCATCTTTGATGTCTTTCATCAGTGTCTTATAGTTTTCTGAGTACAGGTCTTTTACCTCCTTAGGTAGTTTTATTCCTAGGTATTTTATTCTTTTTGTTGCAATGGTAAATGGGAGTGTTTCCTTAATTTCTCTTTCTGATTTTTCACCATTAGTGTATAGGAATGCAAGAGATTTCTGTGCATTAATTTTGTATCCTGCAACTTTACAAAATTCATTGATTAGCTCTAGTATCTTTCTGGTGGCATCGTTAGGATTCTCTATGTATAGTATCGTGTCATCTGCAAACAGTGACAGTTTTCCTTCTTCTTTTCCAATTTGTATTCACTTTATTTCTTTTTCTTCTCTGATTGCTGTGGCTAGGACTTCCAAAATGATGTTGAATAATAGTGGCGAGGGTGGACATTCTTCTATTGTTCCTGATCTTAGAGGAAATGCTTTCAGTTTTTCACCATTGAGAATGATGTTTGCTGTGGGTTTGTCGTATATGGCCTTTATTATGTTGAGGTAGGTGCCCTCTATGCCCACTTTCTGAAGAGTTTTTATCATAAATGGGTGTTGAATTTTGTCAAAAGCTTTTTCGGCATCTATTGAGATGATCATATGCTTTTTATTGGGTAATTTGTTAAGATGGTGTATCACATTGATTGATTTGTGTATATTGAAGAATCCTTGCATCCCTGGGATAAATCCCACTTGATCATGGTGTATCATCCTTTTAATGTGGTGATGAATTCTGTTTGCTAGTATTTTTTTGAGGACTTTTGCATGTATATTCATCAAGGATATTGATCTGTTATTTTCCTTTTTTGTAGTCTGGTTTTGGTTTCAGGGTGATGGTGGCCTCATAGAATTGAGTTTGGGAGTGTTCCTTCCACTGCAATTTTTTGGAACAGTTTGAGAAAGATGGGTGTTAGCTCTTCTCTAAATGTTTGATAGAATTCACCTGTGAACCGATCTGTTCCTGGACTTCTGTTTGTTGGAAGATTTTTAATCACAGTTTCAATGTCATTACTTCTGTTTGGTCTGTTCATATTTTCTATTTCTTCCTGGTTCAGTCTTGGAAGGTTATACCTTTCTAAGAATTTGTCCATTTCTTCCAGGTTGTCCATTTTATTAGGATATAGTTGCTTGTAGTAGTCTCTTATGATCCTTTGTATTCCTTCAGTGTCAGTTGTAACTTCTCCTTTTTCATTTCTAACTCTGTTGATTGGAGTCTTCTCCCTTTTTACCTTGATGAGTCTGGGTAAAGGTATATCAACTTTGTTTATCTGCTAAAAGAACCGGCTTTTAGTTTTATTCATCTTTGCTACTGTTTTCTACATTTGAACTTCATTTGTTTTGTAACATCTTTATTGGAGTATAATTCCCTTACAATGGTGTGTTAGTTTCTGCTTTATAACAAAATGAATCAGCTATACATATACATATATCCCACT